CTTAATGAAAGATCTGCAGCCAGATGGTATGCTTTTATTTTTAAATGGAAATGCAAAGAAATGACATTCACTGAATGGCTAGTTTGAAGTAGGCATTCCATCATGGTCTCTTCTTCTCTTCCTCAACCTATGACTTCCTTCATGCTGATCTGTCAGATATAAACTCAAGAGCTTTATTGGCATCTCAAAGAGAGGTAAGTGTTCATGAATGACTAAAATGCTCTACTCAATGCTTCTGTTCCCAATCTGCAGAAAAAAAAATCTCAGAATTGCAGTCCCTTTGACATCTCCTCCATTACAGCATGGGATATATCTTCTCAGCTCCCCTTTGGTTTTGTGGGTAATGAACTATTCAAAATTAGATATGAATCCCTCTTTTGCTATTCATGTCTTTCCATTTTAAAGAATTTTCCTCCAGTAGAAAAATATTTTGTATCTTTTACTTTCCATTTTAATCAACACCAGTTTCACTGTTAACACTAGTTACTCTGTCATTACTAGTTGCATCACAAAAATATAGTGATCTATAGCTTCAGACCAAGTTTCTTTTACAATACTGCTCAGAACAATGACATTCAAACCACAGTATTCTCAACTTACATATACTGTACGTTGTACTTATATCGCACCATTTTGCTGGGAGCTCCTTAATTTTAATCCCATAAGAAAAACACAGTAAGGTATATTGGGTTGAGTGAGATCACCCACAAGTTAGCCAGTGAGCTCCATGATTGGAAATTTGCTTGTATTTTCCTGATCAAAGTCAACACCTTAGCCACTATTCCATAATGGCCACAGTGGCAAACATTAAGTACACCATATTCTGTAATTTCAAAGGAATCACATGGAAACAGAAAAGGTATGAGAGCATGTAATCTCTTTTCAGCTTTTGTCCTTTTTCTTGCAGGTTGAGGCATTCTATTTGCCACTGCAGTGTTCAGTTTCAAAGGGAGCAGCTATTTGGATATTCACCAATCTTTTAACAGGAAAAGCAACTCAACAGCTTTGCATTTCCCTTCATAGGAAACTCTGATATTTTAGTATGCAACCGGATGAATGCAAACAACATGAAGGACACCAGGGTAAGGTTGCACAAGAATGATTTTATTTTTATTTTTCCTCTTTTGCATGGAATGGGGATACATTATTAACAGCCTCAGCAAGTTTGTTATTTTATACTCATGTGGCTACGTCATGCAGAAGTTATAGGCCTCCCTAGTGTTCTATAATCTTGGCAGCACCATTTTACACAGAAGTTTGTGTTCAGAGTTTACTGTTCTAAGAATGAGCCTTAGCCAGATTGGTGCTCTCTGCCTGCCCTGCAGCATGAGATAATCAGATGTTTCTTCTTCTGCTTATGATGAACTATGTTTTCATATTCCAAGTAATATATTTAATCTCAGCTATGGTTAATGAAAGAAAGCCCTCCCCAACTTGGCATGAATGGATTCATATATCCACACAAAGCCATAATGTACTTTGATTCTATCTTACATTGTGCAAATCTGATCAATTATGGCTTAGCCATAAAGCACAGTTCAGTCAAAGTCAAATATGATGTGTGAATCAAGTCTGTAAATCTCATGCTTCCCAGTGGGAATTACAAGAGATGTGGTGTAAGCCTATCTATAGCAGCGTTTCTCAACCTCAGCAACTTTAAGGTGTGTAGCCTTCAACTCCCAGAATTCTCCAGCCATGCATGCTGGCTGAAGAATTATGGGAGTTGAAGTCTACACACCTTAAAGTTGCTGAGGTTGAGAAACATTGGTCTAAAGTATCCCAATTTGGGAAGGGCTAAGCTATAGTTTGAAGATGACTTCCTTGCAATAGCCATAGTTTTTGTTTGGCCAACATTGCATGCTGAACTTACTCAATTACAAAAGCAACAGCTTCCCAAATGGTTCCTGCAGCTGGATAAAGAAGGCAAGTGTCAGCCTGGATAGGGGGAGATTAAAGCTTTAATCTTTAACACTGAATGGCTGTTGACTTCTGGAGGAATAATGGCAGACTGAAGACAGCTCTGTTTTTTGCAGAGCTGATGGCCATAGTGGTTAAGAGGAGCTGGCAAAGGATCCAGCTCTTCAGAACCATCTCCAGATAAAGGAGATGACTGGACCTTCCTCACAGAGGCTCCCTGTGAAGAAATTGCATGATCTCCAGCGGATTAAGCGTTCTGGGAGTCATGGAAAACATTGAACCCAAGCTGTGGTTTGGAGCCTTCAAAAGGACACTAGATTTGCATACACTTCCTCTCTTAATTGACAACCTATTAACAACTTATTTGGAATTAAAAACCTTCTGAAGGGCAGGTTCCTGCATACCAGAAGAATTTCCTTCCATCCCTGAAGAAAGGAGATGTAAGTTTAAAGATTAGAAGGGAAAAAAAAAAAATTTTGAAAAGCAAAAGGGAGTTTAAAATGTTGACTGTGGACACTTAAGGGGCCAGATGGATTTGAAAGAATAGTTTTTATAGACTGTGTTAAATTTTATAAAAATATAGTTGATGATTTTGGAATTAATTGTAAGAAAACTTACTGTGGGAAAGTTCTGACTCTGAAAAGAAACAAAAGGTAAGACTGGACTTTGAAGGTTAACTAGAGGAAACCAGACAGCAATTAAAGGAGAAGATAGCTATTAACACAACAGAGAAACATTATCTTACTATAGAAGAATTTAAGTTAGTTTGGGAACAATGTGTTCAGGACTTTGTATTAAAAGTTTTAAAGTATTTTAAAAACTTTTTGATATGCCTAAAGTAGAGTTAACAGAGGTTATAGAAGAAGAAAAGACTTTGTTGGATAAAACAGAGGCTGAGGATGATTTGAATAGGGATCTTAAAATGGACTTTAAAAAACTGACAGACTATAAAAGAAATATGGAAGACACAGAAGATGTTGAAATGGGATTTTAAAATGACATGGAGAAAGAAACTGGATGGGACTTAACAAGTTATACTAGATGATATTTGAACAATTAAAGGGGATGTTCAGATTATAAATCAGAAGAGTGACTCTGAGAGCCATCTTATTTTGGATCCACAGAATGGAAGTATGAAAGTAGGGAGAAAATGATAAGAGATTATCATGTGGGATTTTATTTGAAGAAACTACTGAAGATCAAGTAGAAGAAAAAGGAATTTTTCTTCTAAACAGAAGAAAAAGGAATTCAAAGTGGACTTATCTGATCAAGGTTAAGTTGTATAAATTGTGATTCTGGGCTATTACTATTGGAATCTTTTCTTATGACCAGGATTGTCTAATGAGGGTTTAAAGATTTTTTTCATATGGGAATAAACTTTCTATGTCCTAATTGTTAGAGAAAATTATAGGTTAGAATGTAAAAGGGATTTATTTAATTTAGTTTAAGATATACAGTACTGTGCAGAAGTTTTAGGCAGGTGTGAAAAAATGCTGTAAAGTAAGAATCCTTTCAAAAATATATATTG